AGAGGAAATAGAATACTTAAGTAACCTTATCTTATAAAAAGAAATTAAACAAGCCATCAATGAACTCCCTAAGAAAAAATTCCCAAAATCAGATGGATTTGCCAGTGAATTCTACCAAATATTTAAAGAAGAATTCATTCCAATACTATGTAAACTATTTGGAAAACAGACAAAGAAGGAGTCCTACCAAATTTCTTTTTCAACACAAATATGATGCTGATACATAAACCAGGAAAAGCCAAAACAGAGAAAAAAATTATTAAACCAATTTCCCTAATGAATATTGATGCAAAAATTTTAAATAAAATACTAGTAGGGAGATTATAGCAATATTTTACAAGGATCATACACTATGACCAAGTGGGATCTATACCAAGAATTCAGGGCTGTTTTAACATTAGGATTCTATCAGCATAATTACAACCATAAATGAAAACACCAACCGAAATCATATGATTATCTCAACAGATGCAGAAAAATTTTTTCACAAAATGCAACATTCATTTCTAACAAAAACATTAGAAAACATAGGAATAAATGGAGCTTTTCTTAAAATAAAAAGTAATATATAGGTACTGATGCCATCAGTAAGCATTATCTATAATGAGGATAAGCTAGAAGCCTTCCCAATAAGACCAGGGGTAAAGCAAAGATGACTATTATCACCACTATTTTTCAGTATGGTACTAGAAATGCTAGCTATCACAACAGAAGAAAAAGAAATTGGAAGAATTAGAATAGGCAATGAGGAAACAAAATTATCACTCTTTGCAGATGATATGATGGTATACTTAGAGAACCCTTGAAAATGAACTAAAAAACTAGTTGAAATAGTTAACAGCAAAGTTGCAGGACATAAGTAAATCCATATAAATCATCAGCATTTCTATTTATTACTGACAAAGTCCAGCAGGAAGAGATAGAAAGAGAAATTCCATTTAAAATAACTGTACTAAATCACTGTTGCTTAGAGAAATGCAAATCAAAACAACTCTGACGTACCACATCACACCTATCAGATTGGCCAACATGACAAAACAGGAAAATGATAAATGCTGGAGAAGATGTGGGAAAATTGGAACACAGATGCATTGTTAGTGGAGTTGTGAACTGATCCAACCATTCTGGAAAGCAATTTGGAGCTATGCCCAAAGGGCCATAAAAATGTGCATATCCTTTGACCCAGCAATATCACATCTAGGGCTGTATCCCAAAGAGATCATAAAAATGGGGAAAGGACCCACATATACAAAAATATTTATAGCAGATCTTTTTGTGGTGGCAAAGAATTGGAAATTGAGGGGATGCCCATCAGTTGTGGAATGGTTGAACAAACTGTGGTATATGAATGTAATGGAATACTTTGTGGTGTAAGAAATGATGAACAGGTTGACCAGAAAAACCTAGAAAGATTTATATGTCTGATGCTGAGTGAAGTGAACAGAAGCAGGAGAACATCGTACACAGTAACAGCCACAATATGTAATGACTAACTGATAGACTCATCTCTTCTTAGCAATGCAAGGATCTGGGACAACTCCAAAGGACTCATGATGAAAAATGCTGTCCATATCCAGAGAAAGAACTTAGGGGTCCGAACGCAGATCAAAGCATATTATTTGCTCTTTCTTTTTTTCTTTTTTTGTTTGTTTCTTCTTTCTCATGGTTTCTCCCATTGGTTCTAATTCTTCTTTACAACATGACTAATGTGAAAATAAGTTCAATATGAATGTATATGTAGAGCCTATATTAACTTGCACACTGTCTTGGGCTAGGGGTAGGGGAGAGATGGGGAGAAAATCTGGAACTCAAATCTTATGGAGGTGAATGTTATAAACTCAAAATAAATAAAATTAATTAATTAAAAAAATAACTGTAGACCATATAAAATACTTAAGAATCTATGTGCCAAGACAAATCCAAGAACTATATGAACACAATCATAAAACATTTTTTCATACAAATAAATTCAGATCTGAACAATTAGAAAAATACTGAATATGAAAAAATGTAAAGGAAGGTGGCTTAACTACACCAGGTCTCAAACAGTATTATAAAGCAGAAATCACCAAAATTATCTGGTACTGGCTAAGAGATGGAAGGGTGGATCAGTGAACTAGATTGGGTACAGCACAAAGTAGGTAATGACTATAGTAAATTAGTATTTGATTGGAGAAATGCGAAATGCACATTAAAATAACTCTGAGGTACCACCTTACACCTATCAGATTATCAGGTTGTTTTCATACATAATTGGGAAAATAAAATATTAAACAACAGAAAAAGAAAGATCACCTCCTAAAAGAGATTCTAAAATGAAAACTCCCAGGAATATTACAGCCAAATTCCAGAGCTCCCAGATCAAGGAAAAATATTGCAAGCAACCAGAAAGAAACAATTCAAACATTGGGGAGCCACAGCCAGGATTGCACAAGATTTAGCAGCTCCCATGTGAAAGGAGAGGAGGGCTTGTAATCATAAGGTATCCAATATTCCTATCTAGGTATAGAAATCTCTTACCCAATAAGGAGATAGGAAAGAAGGGGATAATATATATGGAAGGGGGGGATGATAAGAGTATAGGTCAGATTAGGGAAGGAGGGACAAGATATAAAGAGAAAGAGAAAGATAAACTGAGGAAAATGGGATGAGGGTGGAGAAAGGCACAGTTAGTGATCATAACTGTGAATGGGAATGGGATGAGCTAACCCATAGAACAGAAGCAGAATGGATTGGAAACCAGAATCCAACAATATATTGGATACAAGAGTCACACTTGAGACAGAAAGACACACAGAGTTGAAATGGACTGGAGCAGCATCTATTAAGCTTCAGCTGAAGCGAAGAGGGTGCGGTGGCAATCATAATGTCAGACAAAGCAAAGCAAAAATAAACCTAATTCAAAGCAATAATTAGGGAAACTATATTTTCCTAAAAGATACCATAGACAATAAAGTAATAGAAAAATTTTACATCAAGTTTAAAAAGCCTCATCTCTCAAATATGTAGAACTGAGTCAAATTTATAAAAAATAAGAGCCATTCCCCAACTGATAAATGGTCAAAGGATATAAACAAGTAGTTTTCAGAAGAAGAAATCAAAGCCATCTACAGTCATATGAAAAAATGGTTAGAGAAAGGCAAATTAAAACACCTCTGAGGTACCACCTCACACCTATCAGAAATGACAAATGCTGGAAGGGATGAGTGAAAATAGGTACATTAATGAACTGTTGGTGGAATAGTGAACTGGTTCAGCCATTTTGGAGAACAATCTGGAACTTTGCCCAAAAGATTATAAAGCTTTGAATACCCTTTAATCCAACAATACCACTACTAGATCTGTACCCCACAGAGATCAAAGAAAAAGGAAGACCTATGTGTACAAAAATACTTATAGCAGCTTTTTTTTGTGTGTGGTGGCAAAGAACTGGGACGTTGAGAGGATGCTCAACAATTGAGGAACGGTTGAACAAGTTGTGGCATATGATTGTAATGGAGTACTATTGTGCTAGAAATGAGGGAGGGGATGGTTTCAGAAAAGCATGGCAAGACTTGAACTGATGCAAAATCAAGTGAGAAGAACTAGGAGATTACTATGCACAGCAATAGCAATGTTGTGGTAGTGATTGACTGAGAAAGATTTGGCCACTCTGATCCGTACAGTGATCCAAGATACTTACAAAGGACTCATGATAAAAAAAAAAATGCTACCCACTTCAAGAGAAAGAAGTGATGAACTCTGAGTGCAAACTAAAGCATTACTTTCTTCCTTTTTTGTGAAATGGCTAATATAGAGATATGCTTTGCATGAGTTCACATGAATATTTGATAGATTGTTTGCCTTCTCAGTGGATGGGGTAGGTGTGAGAGAGAGGAAGAGTATCTGGAGCTCAAAATAAATAATAGATATTTAAAAAATAAAATAAACATACTTCATATATACATATATGAATATATATATATATATATATATTATACACACACACACACACATATAAATGATGAAATAGATGGTTTCAGAGAACCCTGGGAAGACTTGTACAAACTGATGCAGAATGAAGTGAGCAGAAACATCTTTGAATGACTTAAGAGCTTTGATCAATGAAATAATCAACTACAATTCCAGACAGCCCATGATTAAGAATGCTACCTACCTTTTGTGAGAAAAGTAATGGAGTCAAGATGCAGAATGAGACATACATTTTTGAATATGACTAATGTGGGAATTCATATTGCTTGATTTATACACATTTGTTTAAAAAGGGTTTTCTTTTTTCTTTCTCAAGGGAAGGGAAGATGAAGAAAGAAATGCCTGTTAATTAAAGAAATTAATTTTTTTCAGCCCCCATCATCAACATCCCCAGTAAAAATGAAAAGAATCTATTAGGCAATGTGCTGAGGCACTGAAGATATAAAGACAGAATGAAAAACTGGTCCTGCCCCCAGGAAGGTTACATTCTGTTGAAAGGATAACCTCAAAGACTTCCACAGTCATTTTTTGTGAGCCAGTTAATAATACATTCTTATTCTGCACATATGGAAGGTGAAGCATTGAATTTAATGAACCGAATTTGCCACCCAGCAAGAGAGACTGAAAGAGGGCTGGCAAATACTGGTCAAATTCAATTCGATGCAGCGAATGTGCAGTAAGCACCTCCTAAGTTTTAAGATAGTGTCCTTTTCTCCCTAGGCGGTGTGGAAGCAGGACTACTGCAGGAAGATCAAGGTCAGGCCACCCATCCACCATCAGCTCAGCCCCACATCTCTCTCCCTCTGACCAGGGGGTAGGTGTGGCGTGGGTGTGTCAAGCGAGTGGGAGAAAGCCCTTGCTCGCGCTGGTGGTGCGTAAACACTCGGTTGGTATGGCAACTGCGCCAGCCGGCTGCAGTCACCCGCTCCGCCAGCGCCCAGTGGAGGCAGCCCTGGGGCGATGGGCAGGGGGGCCGTGGCTCCTCCTCTTCTCCCTCCTCCGCTGCCTGCCCTGCAGGCCCAGGGGTGTCCTCCCCTCCCCCCTCAGGTTTCAGAGGGGCAGCCTCGGCTGGGGCCCAGCTGAGGCATGACTGGTCCGGTCTTCGCGGAGCCCCATGGAGGAGGAGCCGCCGCCGCCGCCGCCTCCCACGCCCACGACGCCCCCCCTCTCCGCCTCCGAGATCACCCAGATGAGCAACCTGACGAGCCTGGGCGCCGGCCGCGGCGGGGGCAGCCTGCGCCCCGAGGCAGCCCTGGGCTCGTCTGGCGCTGCGCCGGCCGCGAGCTTCCACGCGGCCGTGATTTCCTTTACCACCGTGGCGGCCGTGGCGGCCGAGGCGCGGGGGAGCCGGGGCGGCGGCGGCGACAGCGGCCTGGCTGGGGCCGACAAGGCCGGGCCGGGCAGCAGCAGCCTCCCCAGCGGCAGCAGCAGCAGCCTCCCCAGCGGCAGCAGCAGCATCCCCAGCGGGGATCCCGTCCCGGCGGGGACGGGGGCGAAGCGGCCGCTGCCGGAGCCCTGGGCGGCCGTGGCGGCGCAGGCGCTCGTGCTGCTGCTCATCTTCCTGCTCTCCAGCCTGGGCAACTGCGCCGTGATGGGGGCGATCGTGAAGCACCGGCAGCTGCGAACCGTGACCAACGCCTTCATCCTGTCGCTGTCCCTCTCTGACCTGCTCACCGCCCTGCTCTGCCTGCCCGCCGCCTTCCTGGCCCTCTTCGCTCGCCACGGCGGCGGCCTCGACGGCGCCCCCGCCTCCCGGCCCTGGCAGCGCTTCTGCACCGCCAGCCGCTTCTTCGGCTCCTGCTTCGGCATCGTGTCCACCTTGACCATGACCCTCATCTCCCTGGACCGCTACAATGCCATCGTGAGGCACCCCGGAAAGAAGATGGGCTGGCGCAGGGCCCTGCTGCTCTTGCTCGCCGTTTGGCTCGTGGCAGTGGGTATCTCTTTCCCCTGGGATCTGCTGGGGGGCTCCGAGGGCGACTGGGGCGAGGATGCGCACGTCGGACCGAAGCAGAGTTTCCACCGCTGCCTGTACTTTTCCTACCCGGGCCCCTCCCGCTTGGGTCCCACCTACAACATCTGGCTGATCGTGACCTGTTACCTGTTTCCCTTTGGGATCATGTGCTTCTGTCTCTACCAGATTTGCAAGACCGTGAGGTTGTCGGAAATTAGGGTACGGCCGGTTTCAACCTACGCCCACCTGTTGCGCTTCTACAGAGAAATGCGGACAGCGACCACGGTGCTCATCATGATTGTTTTCATTATTTTCTGCTGGGGACCCTACTGCCTCCTGGTACTGTTCACAGCTGCAGCCGGGGCTGCAGGTGCCCAGACACCCCCATTCCACCCGGTCCTGAATACCGTGGCCATATGGATGGCCTGGGCAAATGGAGCCATAAACCCTCTCATCTACGCCATCCGCAACCCCAACATTTCCATACTGCTGAGGCACAAACGGGAGGAAGGTTACAGGACTAGAAATGTAGCCGCGTACTTGTCTAGCCGCAATCGACATCTGGAGGCCAGAAGCGTCGCTAATCGTCTCAGAGAACGCTATGCCCACAGGCTCGGCGTGCGCAGTAGAGTGTCCTCTTGCAGTTCTGCTAATGGCGAAGGAGGCAGGGATATGGCCATGTGGGCTTGTAGAAATCCAGCCCTACTCTTCTGCCGAGATGGGCTACCAGACACCGCGTCTGAAGTAGCCATGCAGGGTAAAACAGTAGATACTAGTCTCTAAAAACAGAGTGTGTGCATGAATAGAACCAAGTGCGACCGCAAGAGTATTCATTCCATCCTTGACATTTTAGGGCTAGGGGAATTCCATTTCAGGATCAGTGGAGTTCCTGAGAACCAGCCATTTTATACTGAAAGAAAAGAGGGGGCAGGGCTTGCCATTTTCAGAAAGGCTGATTAAAAGACACACACATACACACACACACACACACACACTTACGTTTTTGCAAAAGTGCCAAGACTGATGTAAATTGCAAAAAATTAAACCAACGTGACTGACCGTTGTGAATTGTAAGTGCCAAAAAAAAAGACCAAAAACCAAATACTAGATCAGACCACCTAAAGCCCATATGTATAGGAATCACACTGTGAAAAACAAAAATACAACGTCTTTGAAAGAGGTTATTGTTATTTATTCTAATGCACAAAAGGTCTCCAGCTATGGGATGGAAAACTAGATACTGTGATCAACTTGTATTGAGATTGTCTTCTAAATGAATTTAACAAAATTGACAATCAGAATCTACCAATTTATAGGAAATACAACTTATGTATTTGGGGGATAGGATACAAGGAAAGAACAGTTCTTATCCTCACGAAATTGGAAAAAAAAATTATATTTACATATTAGGTGCAAACACAGTCTGGGAAGAACAAAAACTGCAAGATATGACTATAGGGAAATATAACTGATTAGCTAAACTGTAAAATACACATCTAATTCAGTGTTGCCTTTTCAAGTAGTCACCTTAAGAAGACTTAAAACCTATGTGGTGCTCCCTTCTTTGGTATGACCTTTAGAATTTACAGTGCATTCTTATGAATATCCTTATTAGCTGCAAATCTGGATTCTTTGAAAGGGGATATGACTCTTGGATAAAGTCATAAGCAAGTATGATGAATATGGTGAGTGATCAGACTGAGATAACCTCATAGCTGATTAATATTACTGTAAAGTAATGACATTGGTTTTGTCGTAATTTAACTCTGAAGGATATTCCAAAAGAGGAGTTCTGGAAATGATTGGGGCAGTGGCAACACAATTTGATGAACTCAGTGGCTTCCCAGGTTGACTACTCTGAAAGACAAAGGTCATTTGAATGTAGACATTCTGATGTTAAAAAAAAAAAAGTCAGTCTCATTGCTTTATAGTTAAAAGGTCCATATAACTATAATTTTAAAGCCCAACTCACATTCCAGGCATGTCTTGGTCATATTCTTTAGAGAGAATAACTATAAACTGGCCATGTTTCAAGGGCTTTAAATTGTAGGTCTAGAATGATAGTTGTATTATGCTGGTCAAGTGGTTAATTAGATGTATCCAGAAATTACTGAAAAGTTCTTTAAAAATTAATTGCTTGACTATAGTTAAAATAATACCAAAAAAAAGCACAAACTAGGACACTCTTCAAATGAAATGCCATTGCACTCAAATTCTTTGACTCAACTTTTAAAAGATGCTTTTGTGTTTTCTCCCTCAATTCCCTTCTTTCTCCCTATTCTCTTTTCCCTTCCCTCTTTTCCCTCACCCCAAAGAGGCTCAGGACTTCGTAGCCTTAATTTAACATTTAAAATTAGGCATGAGATTCATCCTTCTACTTTCTGAAGACTTAAATGTGAAATAATATCCAGTATTTTTTCTTATACAACACTGAAAGATGTTTTAATATTTTTTGTTTGTGAGGAGTCAGTATACGTCATTATTTTGTAATCTAAACCTAAAATAAATAGTCTTTTATGCAACAATTGCAAATGTAGTTTATTTTTCCTTTCTGTGTGGATAGTGAGACATGCATCATGATGTAGCAATTAGCTAACTTCAGAGTCCAAAAGACCAGAGTCTAAGTCATTTTTTTTGTTTTGTTTTGTTTTTGGTAGAGTCTAAGTCTTAACCTCTGACACCTACTAGCTAGGTTATCTTGGACAAGTCACTGACCTTCTCAGTGTCCCAGGCAACTCCCTAAGACTAAAACTTATACATGAGCTGCTGATTTGAAAGTTTCTATCCAGGGGGTTTCCCATGCCAATAAAATCACAGATTTGGGGAAAATGGGCTAAAAATAGTAGATGAGTAGAAACTATTAGAAGTATGTATTAAATATGCCTGCGTTCTAGTTCCTTGCTAAGTCGTGCACAAAGTGAATTGGACACGGTCAGCCCTCTCACACAACTTACGGTCTTTCCACGGTGAGGAGAATAGCCTCAAACGTGACCAGAAGTATCGTTCTTACATTGTGTAGATGCAAGAATTTCAGTTCACTTAATGGAGTTAGGATTTAAAAAGGAGTCATGGGCTGCACATAAGGACAAACTGCTGTCCCAGTTAGGGGAGATTTCACAAAAGAGGGATTTCAGTAGCTGTTTGTATAAAGGATTAAAGGAAGCTAAGAGAACTGGTTAAGTGGGGGAAAGGTTGAGATGTTTCAAAAATAGGGTACTGCCTGAGAAGAGAATTTGGAGGCAGAAACGTCACAGAGAGGAAATAAACTGTGCTTACTTATCGTTCACCCTTCATTCCTGAAGAGAACCAATGACATCCGGAGGGTATAATTGCAAGTGAATTGGATTTAAGTGAGTCAGAGCTGGGCAGAATCATCAGCCTCACTTTCTCCTCCAGAGTCCTCAGGATGACTGGTGACCTGCCCGGATGCGGTGGGAGGCCTTGGCCTTTTAAGCTAAGGTCTTTCCCAAGTCTCAGTTTGTCTGAGGCAACATCCTTTAAGTAGTTAAAAGCTAAGTAAGAACTGAGGCAAAAGAAGACCAAGTTTGCCTTCACACAAGAATCAATCTGGGCAGAGGAACTTAATAAGAAACAGATACAAGAGGACAATCTGGGAAGTCTGGGAACCCAAGGGGTAGGCTGCTGTGAAGGGCTTGATATCAAAAGATCATGCTCATCTGTCCTTTATCTACCACATATGTCAAAAGGGGGAGGTTAAGTCAAAACATCCTATAGAGGAAACAGTGGTGACTTTAAGGTAGAAAGGGATAGGTGGGCAAATTCAGAGCATCAAGTTGCATTAGTTCTTCATGACCAATAAGAAAACATGTATGATATTTTGGGGAGCTGGAGATACTGTGTCCTGCCCTCAAGAGGCTTACAATATAGTAGAAGGATTCTCGTCTCTTGCTGGGAGGCCTAAGGCTATCGATGTAGGCATGGAGAGGAAAAAGGAGTTTCCGGGAGGTGCTATGGAGAAGAGAAAAAATAACAGTAGAATTTGGAAAGGGATTGAGATGAATCCATTGTCTCTGGACAGGGAAATGGCCACACATATTACTGGTCTCTGGTAAAAGAATACTGTCAGAAAGTAATCCTGCTATACTTCTCATTAATCAGACTCTTATTGGAGTGTTTTATTTCTTTTTCTTTTTTCTTTCTTTTTTTTTTGGCTATTCAATGGGGTTAAGTGACTTGCAGAGAATCATACAGCTAGTAAGTGTCAAGTGTCTGAGGCTGGATTTGAACTCAGGTCCTCCTGACTCCAGGGCTGGTGCTGTATCCACTGTGTCACCTAGCTGTCCCCATGGAGTATTTCATTTCAACTGAGGAGTTCTTTGGACTTTAAAAAGGGTATGGAAAAATTGGGAAATCTTGAAAGATAATAATTACTGAAAATTATAGAGATAGAGAGATAAATGTTCTAAGTAAAGGTTAGAGGAATTAAGCTATTTATCTTTACAGGAGAAAAGCCTCAGGGGATGCCTCAGTTTCCTCAACTGTAAAATTAGAATAATAGCATTTACCTCTCAGGGTTGTTGTGAGGATGAAACGAGGTAATAATTGTAAAGAACTTAGCACAGTGCCTGGCTCATAGTAGGTACTATACAAATTTTAGCTATTATTATCACTTTTATCATCACTATTATTATTATTACTAGTATTATTTCTCTTTTTAAATAATGGAGGGTTTTGAGCAATTACTCTTTATAGAACATAGTCCTCTGTACCTCAGCTGCATTTAGCCACTAACAGATTAGCTTATACAAAAGGAATACTTAATTCAAAAGGTATAATCACAAATATACAAATTTACTCCCCAACATGTGGGAGACATAATTTCCTCCCTTCTTCAAAACCAGTACTACCTCATTTTCTGAGGGGGCTTAGGCTCATAGCTTAGCTCATTTCCTATTAAGCATATTACCTGTCCAAAATCTCCCTTCAAGTTCAAGTTCTGGATACCCTTGTTTCTCCTGGCTTCCTTGCTGGACTGTCTGGCTTCATTGTCTTCACCAGAATCCTGACTCCAAGATCATAAGGTTTGAACTCCCTCATCTGATCTCGTGAGGATCACATTGGCACCTGAAATTGAGAAAGATAAACAACACAAAGCAGAAACAAACACTCCTAGTGTCATGTCTTCAGAGCTGGAGTAAAACAGGGAGCAGGGGAAGGAAGTTAAACAGCATAGCACATGACTTCTACTCTGTGGAGGAACTGTGATCTTCGTCATCTGGATGTAGCAGGAAAGAGTGTTTAGGGATGAGGCAAAAGCCATAAAGAGTGACTTATCTCAGTCTAGCCAGTTTTAAAGATGTAGCCTTTTCAGCTGTTCAGCTAATGGAAGGAGGCTATGCCAACCCCTGTAGGACGGATATGCAGAGTTCTTCCATCTTAGGAGATTTGGGCATGCCCAGCCAAGCTCCTTTAGAAATACCTCCACGTTAAGTGGTCTGGGCCTGCTCCAAAGGCCCCTTTACGTATTTCCCCACTGGCAATTTGCCATCCCCAGCATATAGTCAATAGTATATTTTCTAACACAGTCCTCATCCCAAATGCAGGCCTTTGTGCTAAATTTAGAACAGCTCTCTGTAGTCTCTAGGGAGGCATAAGCAAGGTCCTTTCACTTACTTTCCCAGTTTCCTGCAGTACAGTCTCAAAACAGCCAGTGCTCTGTGGTCACATACAATCCCACATGTATAGATGAAAATAAAAAGTAGCTTCAGATACGAAGTTTTTCAGATTCAACAAAATAAGAAGCATTTTGCAAAGTTTGCCAAATATTTCTGCTTTATTTAGCCATCACCTTAAAGGGCCTTTTTCAACTCATAAGCGAAAGGACTAGCAAAGGCAAAGAAAACTGGCTGTAACAAGATTGAAATTTAATAATGCCACAGCAATTCCCTAGGTATTCTTTTTGGTGATTCCACTCACAGAAACATATGTACAGCTATAAGATTATGAAGGCAATCACAGTGTAAACCCCCAAATGGTGGTGCTACATGCTTGGCATTTCCTGAAACTAAAAATTGATAGTACTCCTTTTGCAAATTCTTCCTGTCCAGAACAGAGATCCAACATAATTACTTTTGTGACTATCCATCTGGGATGAAAACATCTGGCAAAACTAGTAATTTTCAGGGAAGAGGCCTCACCCATTTACTGGTGAGCATCTTCAATTCTTCTAGCAATTTCTAGAAACTCTCAAATTATGAGACCATATTCTTCTTGTGTTCTCCCAAGGAGCACAAAATTTTCTCTTCACATTAATAATGGGAACTCTTTTGGTGTCTGCAAGAAGCAGGCTTTAACTTCTTTCTGTAATAAGTGTAATTGTGCAAAAGAATCTTTATGTTGAATATTTCCAGAATATAAAGGCCCTTTGAGAGAATGCTGAACAAACATTTTGCATTCACCTCACAACTCAGACGCAGAGCTCCTAGTAAGGTATCGATTTCCTAGCCAGCCAGGACATGGCTTTCTTAGCTCTTCAGCTGTGGGATGATCCTCGGGGTAATCATCTTCTCACCCTACATGTGCTATAAAAGAAATTCTGTCTCTGTCTGGCTGGTTAACGTCCAGACCCTAAACTTGGGTTCTCTGGATCCATGAGGTAACTGCCAAGGCTGGAAACAGCCATTACTCAGATCACTAGTGGCTGATCTGCACTCTGAGAAGGAAACAGGAAGGCAGCCCAGGACTTAAGGTCTAGTTTTAGGCCTGCCTAAATAATCCCACCGTCATGTACTTGTAAGCTGCTGTTCCTGCTGTCTCAATAGAATTTAATAAGGGAAACTGAGGTGTGGGCAGCTAGATAGTACAATGGATGAAGTGCTGGACCTCAAGTCAAGAAGATTCATCTTCATGAGTTCTAATCTGGCCTTGGACAAGTACTAGCTTTGTGACCCTGGGCAAGTCACTTCACCCTATTTGTCTCCATTTCCTCATCCATAAAATGAGCTGGAGTAGGAAATGGCAAACCATCTTTGACAAGAAAACCCCAAATGGAGTCACAAAGAGTCAGGCATGAATGGAATGACTGAACAACAAATCAGGCACAGAATTCTGAGCTTTATCAGTTTATTAGCTGGGGTGAACCTGTTAACAAAGTGGGTGAAATGACACCTCAGTTAGGCCAGTGACTCAGAAGAGGAGGCACAGCTCCTTTTTTATAAGTATAGAACAAAGAACAGAACTGAGTAGGTAAGGGAAAGAATACAATTGGGTACAGGACTGGGAGTGAGGACACATATTGGTTGGAAATTGGGAATGAGGGGCTAGACACAACCTCCTCCTTCCCTCCTGTGACTAACAAACATTCAGTGCTTGTGTCCACCTGCAAGGTTAGAGATAGTAGACCAGACTTCTTTGGAAAACAAACCAAATGTCCTTGAAGAATAACTTGGTGATGTAAAGGTACTAAAGCAGACTCCCTGGTGTTCCCCATATCCTTCAAGAATAACATATTTCTTTCAAATCAAAACAACTCTGAGGTACCACATCACACCTATCGGATCGGCCAA